ATATATCATACCATTCTCGAGAAAAGTCTATACTAGAATATAGTAACGCACTCTGCAGATGTGCACATGTATATATGTATATAATTGTCGCGAATACTGTAGTAGTATAAGCTGATCCGCGTTGCCTATGAACTCCGATGCGAATATCGTATATAGCACTATTAAATGGCAAAGCAGAGTGATCGTACTATCCGCGAAGTCAGACAGTGATCGAGTCGTCACACGCTCCGACACGCTACAGAGTATATGCAATAAAAAAAATGGTGAGTACTTTGTTTTTTCATCGCATTTGCATTAATATCGAATCTATTTTTTTAATTATAATATTTATCATAAAAATATATACACATTTGTATTTTAATAAAAAGATCTTTCGTTTATTTTAATTTCGTAATCGGAATAAACATTTTAGAGAAAAAGGGTATTACTCTAAAGTTTTTATTTTTTACGAAAAACACTTTATAGGACTAATACAATTGCATTAAGGCACAATATACATATTTCATTCTTCTCTCTCTATTCTATTATAGTTTCTATATCTATATCTCTCTGAAATGGAGTCTTTTCTATACAAAAATGTATATCTACATAAAAACGAGTAAAAATCACGCGTGATGAGAAATTATAATTATAATATTTTCAAAATTTCTGTGATTTCTAAATTGTTTTCTATATCACAGTTTATATTGTTAATTACAAGTTGCATCAATATTGCAATCAACATAAGTTTTTTATCGATTTGTTACGCATTTTGATGTCCGTATTTGTAAACATTCTAATAACAGAAATTGTATATGTTTGTATGATAACATTGTTCCTCATAAAACGCATAATTTATGCGTTTCACAAAGTATATAGCTCGAAAAATATGTCATGTGTGCATCATATAGTTTTAAATATTCGTTATATACATACTTTAGGTAGTTATAGCTCATAAAATCAATTAAAAGCTTTTTCAAGTTATTTAAATGTGTGCGGAAGAAACTTGAAGAAAAGTAATTAAAAGATGAATAGAAAAACTCACATGAGAAAAAAACCCCCGATAAAATGTATTCATCTTATTAAATTAACAAATATTAAAGACAATATTTTTTTTAATACGATATGTTTTTCCGTTTTCTTATAATTTATATTGAAGTCTACAGAAAACTAAATATGATGTGGTACATAACGTTTTCAAGAATATACGATTATAATTAATAAAAATCTTAGATATCAAGGAAAATAGGAATCGATCTTATTTTTTAATATAGTTTTTAATTTTTATATTATAAATAAATATCTTTTTATATTATTTTTGTGGTTTTATTATCTATAGTTTAAATAATTATGCTTGGAATATATACACACCATATACTTTCAAAGCTACACGCGAAACTTAAATTATGTATGAAGTATCGATTCACATTACAAATGTTGGCGGCGTAATTTTATATTAGTAAAATCATTCTTTCTTCCTCTCTATTCCTGCAATCGCTTTTTTAGATTATTTGATCTTGTCATTCAATATAGTAATATATACAACAGGCATAAAGACACAAGAGTGAATACAATCCTATATAATCCTAATACTTATCTACCTAAATTTTTTTTTTTTTTTTTTTAAGTTTTACTGACATTTTTTAAGGATATCAAAATATAATATTTTTTCGTGGGCCAATATTCTTTCAAAACTTAGGCCACATTCGATTTAGGTATTTTATAAGTGAATGATAAATTTGACTCACACACACGTGAAATCATCTTCTGGATGAATCGCGCAATCAGGCATCACATATCAAGTATGCAGTTTGATGTTCGATTAAGCTGCTATGGTTACAGTATGTCAACCTGTAAAAAATCGATTTTTACTATGCAGATATAGGATGTATAATATCGCAAGAGACAATACACTGTCTACGTGCGTCTGCAAGTCAGAAAGTAGGGCGGCTATAGGCATGCCGATAGATGCTCACTTTTAGGAGACGTTGAATTAATAACGAAGGATATGTCGTGCCAAGGTGGGCATTTTTCTACCAAACGTTGTTGACAGATAATGTCTCTGCTTTAGTCGACGACGTCTTGGCCATCGATAATCACCCCTTGTCGAACGCGTAGTTCCTTGCGGTCAGTCTCGTTAAATTCGCTCGACAGATTTCGCTTAATCAAAGTATTTAGTTGATCAAAGATTATTCGTAACCGATATCTTACTGTGAAATGACTTGTGAAAATAATACAATTATTCGAATATTTATTGTTTTATGAGTAAAACTTTTGTTATTTTAATTTCTAATTTTATAAAAAATAAAATGAATAAATGAAATATTAGATATGAGAGTCTGTAATCAAGCACGGAATCGATCAATTGCAGAGAGTAAAGTCGATTTTTCCATGAATTTATATTGTAACATTGTTTACATACAAAGTGAGTTTTGATATCTCTTTCTAAATTATCTATCTTTTGTAAAATAATTATTTAGAATATTTGTGACAGACATTTTGCCAGAAAGTGCGTGAATTTAAAATATCATTTATATCAGGTCTACCGGAAAGTTCTGTCCGTTTTTGGAATAAAACAAAATACAAATTTTTATTACCGTCAATAAACTTTATTAAATAATGTAATTGCCATTATTCGGAGAAGTATTGTCAGCAACTGGATAATTTAAATACAGCAGTCCAAGAAAAGAGGCCGGCGATGTTCAATAGGAAGAACATCATACTGCATCATGATAATGCCAGGCCACATGCTGCTTTGGGGACTCGTCAAAAAATTGCAGAACTAGGCTGGGAAATTCTGTCGCATCCACCATATTCCCTGGACTTAGTACCCTCCGACTATCACTTGTTTTTATCCTTACAAAATTTTTTGAGGGGCAAAAAATTCAAAAATGAAGAAGATATCAAACAAGCACTGGTTCAATTTTTCGCATCAAAAGATAAAACATTTTTCGAAAATGGGATATACAAATTGCCCTCACGCTGGCAAGAAATCATTAATAATAATGGCAATTACATTATTTAATAAAGTTTATTGACGGTAATAAAAATTTGTATTTTGTTTTATTCCAAAAACGGACAGAACTTTCCGGTAGACCTAATATAAACTAGTATATAATTTTTTTAAAAGATCATGTATCAGAATAATGTTAAGAGAGTATTTGGAACAAGGAAACAATTAATGAATCAATCAAAGTGAACGAAATACTTTCGCGTAACTTGATATCATTGTATGACTCGTGTTTTTGTGAGATGTACAATTTTCTGTGAGTGCCTACGTCGGTGATTGTTCTAGCTAATATATAGAGACGAAATTTTTTGAAACATGGCGAAAAAGGTGATTAATACAACAGATTTTATAAATACTGGTATTTTTTTCGTTTAATAATCATGTGTATGTGCACACATTACATTGTCTTTCTCTACGAGGCTACAAACTTATAGCCTATCGTGAATTTTTTAACGCTACTTGAGGTGGTAATCATAACTAAAGTAGCGTGGTAGAACGAATAACATAATTTATGCGACGTAATGGAACAATCTTGTCTTTAATTTGTAATGTATCTATAAGATCGTTACGGATATCAGTAAATATTTACGGCAAATAATTATGCTTTTTCTGAAAACAGAAGCTAATTACAGTAACTTTCCAATTATTTGATAATGAATTATTTCCGTTATTTATCATCTTTCATTCTTTATTAAAAGAAAAAAGCAAAAGAATGTATTTTTTACTAATACTTATATTTTCAAAAAATAAACATTTTATATAAAAAGATAAAGAACTGAACAAAAAAATAGCCAATAAAAATGATTGGAGCGTGAATTTTATTGCATATTTATAATTTACACGCAGGGGATACTGTGTAAATATATATTTATCTATTTGTTGGCAGCGGGAATGCATATCCATTCATATAGGGCAGGCGGGTGTGCAAATGGGAAACGCTTGTTGGGAGCTTTATTGTTTGGAGCACGGTATCCATCCGGATGGACAGATGTCCAGCGACACTACCGTAGGTCACGGGGATGATTCTTTTAACGCATTCTTTTCTGAAACAAGCTCTGGAAAACGTGTTCCGCGAGCGGTTTTGGTCGATCTCGAGCCAACGGTAGTAGGCAAGTGTTCCCCTTTCTTGATCGTTCAATTCTTATATTTTTTTTTTAACCCCTTGCATTGCGCATTAACGGGTTGATAAAGATTTAAAATGATATAAGTCATTTCTTTAATACTTCAGACGAAGTTCGTTCGGGTACTTACAAGCAATTGTTCCATCCGGAACAGATGATCACCGGCAAGGAGGATGCGGCTAATAATTATGCTAGGGGTCACTACACGATAGGTATTTGAATATATGTATATTTCCCGTTATAATTCCTATATATCGATCTACAATAACGCAAAAATTAATTACACCGATGTATGCAACTAATTGTTTTTACTAGAAAAAGTAAATAATGAACTGGCTTTCAAATCTCGATAAATAATTTGCTGCATATAATCTTTCAGAAGACTTTTGATTAATATTAATATATACAGGGTATCCCATGACTCGAGGTCCATACATTAAGGGCGTGTTATTGAAGTCATTTAGAGTTGAAATTGTTTAATAAACATATGTCCGTAAATGCTTCCTAACAAAACTACAACTATTGAAAGTTGTATATATATATATATATTAAAACATACACAGATTTTTTTTTACATAGACAAAACACAGCATTATTATTAATTATTTTCATAATTTTTAGGAAAAGAAATCATAGACATTACTTTAGATAGAATACGCAGACTGACAGAGCAATGCAAAGGTTTGCAAGGCTTCTTGATCTTCCATTCGTTTGGGGGTGGTACAGGATCTGGATTCTCGAGTCTGCTTATGGAACAATTGTCCGCCGATTATTCGAAGAAAAGTAAACTAACTTTTAGCATTTATCCAGCCCCACAGGTAATATATTATCCTCATTAGAAGATGTTCCAATTTTTAAAATCCGAAAATTCGGATCCTTCTAAGAGATATTCAAGTATAAATAATCTACGTATACATACGTTTTTTCTTATTTGCGATGTGTCTATTGGATTATTATCTAACAGATAATTTTGTTTTTATCTATGAAATTATTTATTTGTTTAATTATCTAAGTAGAAAAATTCATCTCTCTATGTTTTTTTGTAGGTGTCAACTGCAGTAGTGGAACCTTATAACGCGATTCTATACACTCATCCAACATTAGAGCATACCGAGGTGGCTTTCATTGTAGATAATCAGGTTCGTATAATTATCATTGAAATTCAAAATCGACATTAAATATCTTGATAAATTCAGTGTCTGTTTTACATATCTATATAGAACTTTTAATCAACCTCAGATTGAATCTATTAATCTACAATTCCATTATTAATGAACCGATTACGAAATAACAGTAATTTCTCTTCGAATTTTATTAGTAAAAATTTGCGTATTCTGCCGAATGTCTTTTATATGTCACATATAAAAGAAAATTTATTACGATATCTTTATCTATACATGTATATATGCTGATATATTTTAAATAGTATTATAATAAACTTGTCTGTCTCTCTATATAATTGCGTGTTATCATAGGCCATTTTCGAATTATGCAGAAGGAATTTGAACATCGATCGACCGACTTATACAAATCTAAATCGACTGATTGGACAAATAGTCTCATCTATCACTGCTAGTTTACGATTCGATGGAGCATTGAATGTCGATCTCACCGAATTCCAGACAAATCTAGTGCCTTATCCACGTATTCATTTTCCACTCGTAAGATCAAAAATTCTAATTTTCATACAGAAACACGTTTATAATATAAAACTCAAACAATTTTGATTATTTGATCCATGAAGATGTCTTAATTATATTCTAATTACTGAGTTTTATCGCACTTATGTTTTAGGCCACTTATGCTCCCGTTCTGTCAGCGGAAAAAGCTGAACACGAGAGAGTGACCGTCGCAGAAATAACGAATTCTTGTTTCGAACCGAATCACCAAATGGTGAATTGCGATCCGCGTATGGGAAAGTACATGGCGGTGTGTTTGCTATATAGGGGCGATGTGGTGCCCAAGGACGTTAACGCGGCGATCGCAATGATAAAACGGCAGAAACACGTGCAATTCGTCGAGTGGTGCCCGACGGGATTCAAGGTGAGATTAAATATGAAAAATATAAAAATTAAAATGTAAAGAGAAATATTAAAAAAATTCTTTCTAACTTTAAATTTTAATTTAAAAAGTTAAAATTTAAAAAAGACTGCAATTAAATTACGATCATCAAATTGATAATAACAGGTGGGAATAAATTATCAACCGCCTACTGTTGTACCGGGTGGCGATCTTGCACGAGTGGATAGGGCGGTATGTTGTCTCTGTAACACAACGGCGATTGTGGACGCATGGGCTCGACTCGATCATAAATTCGATCTTATGTATGCCAAACGAGCTTTCGTTCACTGGTAAGTGGAAAAAAGACTAATTGTAAGATTCAAATCTAAATTCTACATTAATATTAATTGCGCTTATTGTTATTCTGCTTGAAACGAATTATTTAGGTAACACTCTCCTTCTAACATCTTTTTTTCGACGTGTTCATAATATTCAATACTTTAATTTTTATATATTAAATTTTCTCAATATATGGAATATTCGTTTTTGTTCCAAATGTTAGAAAAGTAACACATTTTTAATATAATGCAAAAAGATAAGTAAATAAGCTCTTTTATATCCAATCTTACAATATTTATCGAGAAACGAATGCATAATAAACTATTTATAGGTTCGTCGGGGAAGGTATGGAGGAAGGTGAATTTTCAGAAGCCAGGGAAGATCTAGCCGCCTTAGAACTTGATTATCGTGAAGTGCAAGAAGACGCTGTCAACACTGAGGAAGAGGAAGAATATTGAACTCGCCTCGTTATACTATATATTGATTCAATACTATTATAATAATGTGTATATTATTATAACGTTCTGATATAATACAAAGTCTTTAGTTTATCTTTTACCTATCACTCCTGTCGGTGATATGATATACATATTTGTATATATATATATATATATATATATATATATATATATTCGTACCAAAAAGATATTGTATCCGTATAAATAAATTATTTATACATTCTTCTATCTGATACATTTTTTTTTAACAAAAATGTTCATTTTGTAAACTGACGCCACACATTTCACATATCAATTTTGAATCATTTTAAATGCACTCCGTTTGATTATTTCCGCTTCGAAGCGTTTGATGGGCCAATCGAAGAATCTTATGCTAAAAACGAAAATACCTTTTACCCTCACTAGATTATGTGATTTTGTCGGGAATGTACCGACATATCGCATACGCAATATCAATTATCGATATATACAATTTGTTAACGAGTTTGCAGAGATTTCTACGAAGATGACGTTGTTGTAGAAAAGCAGTCTGAAAAATTCTGCTTTTAGCAGAACGTTTTTACTATTACTTTTACATTAATATATAATTGATGTAATTGACATTTTGCAAATATGTTACCTGTATATATATTATCGAAGTAAGTATACTTATAGGAAAATAATGAAAATATTGTACATTAAGAATAATGCAATTTTATCTATATATTATATATTTAAAATATGTTTTTCATGTATTGATTATGTAAAGTAATTTATTATGCTGCATATAAAATAATATATAAAGTAGTTTTTGTTATGCTATATAATTTTATTTTTATATTGAAGAATGTGATATTTTTTGTAGATACAATATAAAGTCCTTAAATGGAGCGTTATTTCAATGGCGAAATATTACTGTTAGATTATGTTCGTCATCATCAGACTCATCATCATCTGATTCTGATTCTGATTCTGATACTGAAAAAGCCAAATCAAAGAAAAATATTAAAAATTCTGCAACATCAGATAATAGGAATAATTTGGGAAGTTTCTTAAACAATATGATACAAGTAAATTATTTAATAATTTTTGATTATTTTAACATTTATTAATTTAGAATATTATTTTAATTAGAATAGCCATGATTATGGTTTTATTATATTTTTAGCAAACTGTATCTACAAAGATGGCCAGAGATACTGGGATGTTTAAAGATACTCGCTCAGATAATGCGGTGTGTAAAAAAAAATTTTAATTTTTCAAAATTATGAAAATCTTACTTTTTAAAATAAATTCTCTGACATCTTATTATATTTAGAAACAAGAAACTACAAAATCGGCAAATGCAACAGATTTAACAGAGTATATAAATAATATGATGAAAGTAAGTTGTATCATTTTGAGGTAAAAAATTAATGCATTCAAAAGTGGTGTAATAACAACATATATTACTGAGAGAAAATATAAGATAATAAATTTTAATGAAAGCATCTGTTATTCTATTTAGGCGAGGAAATTGGAGAAAACCATTGATGTTGCTATACAACCTAAAAACAAATCTAAAAATTCATTGAATAAAGCCAAACATATGTCATATGGTAATTTCATGTAATAATAATTTAAGAACCGTGGAAATTCAGACTTTGTTGAATGTGTAATAAATAAATCAATTTGTTATAGAAAAAAAATTAATAAGTGCAGCAGAAAATGTAGCCAGCGCACTTGGTGGAGATAAAACAAAGACTACATCAGATTTACTTCAGAAAGTTCTTGCATCTAGAGTAGAAATACTGAGAGAAGAACAATTGGCAAATACGTATGTAAATTGTCACAGAATACAATAAATTATGTATACTACACATAAAAGTATATTTCTATGTGTAATTTGTTAAACTTCTTAACGACATTCTTGAAATTTTTCGATATTTGATAGGAACTTAAAGGAGGACGCTAAATCGCCAAAACGCGAAGAACAAATAGATAACAAATATTCAGAAAAAAAATCTATAATACACACTCTGCTCAAAGAATATAATAAGCAATCAGTGGTTGAAAATAGTATAGCAAATCAATTGTTAAGTAAAATCAAAATATCTGAACAAAATGATCTAAAAAGGTCACGTGTCAGGTATGTTGTGCAGAAATGATATAAAGTATTATTTTACACAATAGATTATATAACACATTAAATTATCACATTCTCACGATATACTAACACCATTTTCAATTGGTTGTCGCATGATAGACAAGACATCGATTTATGGAATGGGGAGCCTAGTCGCATTTTTGAAAATATGGGTGTCGCTTCGCAAAATGTACCGGAATTGAAAACTTGGACAGCATTAGAACAAAGGGAATTGAAAGCATTGATGACTTACCCACCTGCCAACATATTTCAAGAATTGATTCTTTGGACAGAACAAGGAAAATTATGGAAATTTCCTATCGACAATGAACAAGGTTTTACACCAGATATTTTTTTCCCAATATTTAAAACTTAATTTAATATTCATATATATCATAATTTATTTATATCATATCATTTCAGGAATGGAAGAAGAACAAAATATTCATTTTTCAGAACATGTCTTTATGGAACGTCATTTGAAAGAATGGTGTCCTAAATCAGGACCAGTACGTCATTTTATGGAATTAGTATGCACTGGACTTTCCAAAAACCCATATTTAACAGTTCAAGAGAAAATAAACCATATTATGTGGTATAAAGATTTCTTTGAATCAAAGCAAGACTTATTGCAAGAGCTAGGAGCAATTCAGAAACCATTTCCTGATAAAACAAAAGAGATTAAAGAATAAAATATAATATAAACATTTGTGCATTATTCTATTTTCTTATTATCGAATAAATTCTTTCCTTTTATAAATCCATAGACCAAAATATTACAAATATATATAACATTATAGTATAATGAAAAATCAGTGATTGGTTGAATTAGTTAAGCATTATAATTATTATATTATATATTTTTATATTATTTATATATCATATTTATATTATTACATAAAATATATTTTGTTTATATTTTTATTATAGTTGTGTAATAAGTACAGTTTTATTGTTAATATGCTACAAAAATTATGCACCTGACCATGGTTCCTCATAATCTTCAATCAGTAAATTTTTATCACGGGACAATTTCATTCGTATAGAATTAGATGTAGGAGTCATTGATAGTATCACAATTCTATTTACAATTAGAAACTTAGGATTATCCAAATGTCGATGTGAAACTATATCAATTTCATTTCCTACTTCCACCTGTTATATCACATTTATTATATGTTAGTTGTGTAAAATACAAAAATAATATCTCATTAAGTTTGATGGATTATTCTAGTTGTCATACATAAATATATAAACTTACCTCCATGGATTTTTTGAATACTTTGTTACCATTTACACGAAACTTGCTTGCATAAAATGCTTCTTCTACTTTACTAAGAACAAAAAAAGGATAGTGATACAAAATAATTTAAATGCAAATTTTATATATATATAATATAAGAATTTTGTTAATACATAAAATTAAACATACTTGCGTGGTATTCCAAATCCAGCTTTGGAAATGGTATCTAATCGAAGAGATGGAACATTTATTGTGAGCATCTTTGAACCAGCAGGCACCTCTTCGTTTTCCTCTTCTTCTTCATCGGAATCCTCATCTCCACTTTTTTTCTACAAAATTTCAAAAATATTTTTATTTATATTAAAAAAGTCTTTAGTTAGGAAAGAAAACATAAATAAATACATTGTAACTAAAGTGTTATTATTAATTACATTGTCGACGATTTTTCTTCTATTAGATTTGAATCTTTTTGCTACGTACAAATTATAGTGATTTTGTATATTGTATTCCTTTGTATTGCTATCGTGTGTCAAGAGATTTGATTCCAGAAAGTTTCGTACGTAGTAAAATGTACGTGCATTGTTGCATATTGTTCTCCTAATAATATTAATTGTTACTCTAGACAACATTATAGTTTAAAATTTTTTGATAATCAAATTTTTCTACATTGATTAGAGATAACTTCTCATAGGGGAGCAAATAAGGCAATATACATATCTTTGTGATATATTGAACATTGAGGTTGATCAGAGGTGTGTTCGAGAACGTCATCCGTGTGCACAGTGCACACGAGCGTCGTTCTATCTTTGTTCAACTTTCAATAAATAACGAAGATAAAGCAACGCTCGGTGCACATGGGTGACATTCTCGAACGCAGCCCAGTAGTAGTAGTCGGTAGACATCAATCTATTACGTATTTATTACTTCAGGGATTAAGGATGCGTTCGAAAATTCTACCCGTGTGGTAAAACAGCATTGAATTGACCAAGCCGGATAAAGAAATTTTTGCTCTTTTTGTCCTGATTGGTCAATTAAACTTTATTTTACTCCGCAAGCAGAATTCTTAAACGCATCCTAGGGCGCGTTCCACTCAACGACCGCAATGCTCATGGTATCATTTCATCCTTGTTGTTCACTGAAAGTTAAACAAAGATAGATGATGCTCGCGAGCGTTGCAGTCGTTAAGTGGAACACGCCCCTAATGTTCTCTCAGTTTGTAGAACTTTCTATCGCAATCAACGGAAGTCTGCGACTTTTAAGTCGACTTAATCATTAAATCAAAATTTTCTACAAGTTTTTTTATCGCATGCATGTTGATTCAACAATTGCAAATAGCGAGAATATTTATAATTTAGAAGCCAGGCTCGAGAAAATAGATAAATACTTTTTCTAGACTGGCATTCCCTTTAGCTACAGAAGTGTAGAGTATAGATAGACTGCCAGTGCTCAAGGCCATTCAAACTCCTCGTCGCCAAAGATTAAAGGTATCGACAACGAGTATTCATAATTATAACATCTTCGACGCTGACTGTATTAGAACATCATGCCAAAGAATAAAGGTCAGTAAGATTGCGTTGCGTTTCATATTCATCTTTTTTATCTAAATTTTATTCGCAAATATTGATTATCGCAATTTCTATCCTGCAATGTGGTTAAGTTTAACTTAACCTATTAACGTCAAGATTATTTCAAAGACTGATTGTAGTTTGCTCGCGAATTTCATTGAGTATTATTATGTTGAGAATGACGTTTTGTCTGCAGGAAAGGGAGGTAAAAATAGAAGAAGAGGAAAGAATGAGAACGAGACCGAAAAGAGAGAATTGGTGTTCAAGGAGGATGGACAAGGTGAGAGTGCAGTGCGGGGAATATAAATAACGTTACGATTGAAAAGGATTCGCGTTTTATTTTGGTGTACTCATAGTGTTTATTTTGCACAGAATATGCTCAAGTGACAAAAATGCTGGGCAATGGTAGACTAGAAGCGATGTGCTTTGACGGAGTCAAGCGACTGTGCCACATTCGAGGAAAGCTTCGGAAGAAAGTATGGATAAATCAGGGAGATATTATATTAATTGGTTTACGAGATTACCAGGATGCTAAAGCGGACGTCATATTGAAATATACGGCCGATGAAGCACGTAACTTGAAAACTTATGGTGAATTCCCAGAAACTGGTAAGTGGCATTTTGTATTATCAATACTCAATGTATGACATTTTATTGTATATTTACTTGATATAATCTATAGTGTTTTCTTACTAATGTGAAATTGTTTTTAGTACGTATCAATGATACAGTTACCTTTGTGGAAGATGGATTTGATGAAGATATTGAGTTTGGTGATGAAATTAGCGACAATGATGAAGATGATGTTGATAATGTAAGCTCTTTCATACATGAAACTATTTTATCTACACAGGTTATATTATTGCTATAACTTGTTTGTACTTTCTGATTTCTCTCATCTATTTTAGCCTTTTTCCCTGCAATATCCAATTAAAAAGTTTGATTTGTTTGATTTGTGTATTATGTTTAATAATAAAATATGCTATTGCACTTACAGATCTGATGACCTGCGGTATAATAATAAAAAAAAGGTATGTCATGAAAATGCATGGGGACATCTATTCATTTCACAAAATACTATTATTTGTCAAAGTTTTCTTCTATTGAATAGCTTATCTCTCTGTATGTATTCCCAAATAAATTGTCAGTTTATGGATAACGTGTTCCAATTCGAATAGTTATATTTGGTATTTGTAAGTTTTATAGGAACATGAATTCTTTTTTAATAGGAAAAAATTATAGTTGATATTTAACATATATTAAATTTAAATTTTGCATTATTTCGAGTATACTACATGCCAGATTTGCTAGATTTATGTTTGTGTACAGTATCAATATGTATGACCAGTTTCGTGACCATCTCTCTGTATTTTTCTATATTTCGTATATTATCTGCCAATAATACACATGTATATTGTCATTTAAGCAGGAAATAGGAATGTACATCACAGCGAGTACTCTCTTTTATATGTTGAAATGTTTCACTCTAAAATATTCATCGAGAAACGAAATAACATACAATTAGAGATCTCGTCCTCTGTCAGATTTCGACGAGATTTTAGAGCCAGTACAATTAGTAAATTGATAAATTAATAAATTAAAAGACAACTTGGGATGAGTTCCTAGTGAACAGAAAAACTTCTTGTCTTAGCGTGATTATTATTATAGTTTGATTGATTACACACGTTGGTAATAATGATACAGTCATTTGTTACGATAAATAACGTGTGCCAGATGTAATTCTCGGAACATATGTTGTGTTATGTATCTCAGTGCAATTATTCAATACATGTTATTCGTTACATCAAAAGGGGACTATAGTGTGTGCTACATTTCGACAATTAACATCGGTTATTAACGATGAAAATGTACAATTAATCATTTTTATGTAATGAAAGAATCTGGAAAATAATATTATTGTTTATTTATGTACAATTAAGTGGAACAATAAGATACAATTATAAACTCGAATTTTTTTCATATGTTAAATAAAATTGCGTATGTTTAACAAATTCTAAAAATTGGAGAAATACTTTTCTCTTTTTTCAGAACCTATCTTTTCCTTATAATTAAAGATAAAATAAATAAGATACTATAATTATATGAAATTTATAATGTAAAGAATATATACTTACGTAAAATTAATTTTTTCTATTCACATTTGAAATGCACATTTTTTAAAAATAATGCTAATGCAATTCTTCTTCTTTCCTTTATGGCTGGTTAGGCTTCTATACAAAATTTGCTTGTACGCCAGTTAGTGGTTATATGAATTATAATCGATCACTAGTTAATAGTGCAACAACTAGTGTGTAGAAATGATCCTCCAGAGGAAGATAAGTTGCAAAAATTCTGAACCCAAATTGGAACTTGCGTTGTTCACTGAAAGTTAAACAAAGATAGATGATGCTCGCGAGCGTTGCAGTCGTTAAGTGGAACACGCCCCTAATGTTCTCTCAGTTTGTAGAACTTTCTATCGCAATCAACGGAAGTCTGCGACTTTTAAGTCGACTTAATCATTAAATCAAAATTTTCTACAAGTTTTTTTATCGCATGCATGTTGATTCAACAATTGCAAATAGCGAGAATATTTATAATTTAGAAGCCAGGCTCGAGAAAATAGATAAATACTTTTTCTAGACTGGCATTCCCTTTAGCTACAGAAGTGTAGAGTATAGATAGACTGCCAGTGCTCAAGGCCATTCAAACTCCTCGTCGCCAAAGATTAAAGGTATCGACAACGAGTATTCATAATTATAACATCTTCGACGCTGACTGTATTAGAACATCATGCCAAAGAATAAAGGTCAGTAAGATTGCGTTGCGTTTCATATTCATCTTTTTTATCTAAATTTTATTCGCAAATATTGATTATCGCAATTTCTATCCTGCAATGTGGTTAAGTTTAACTTAACCTATTAACGTCAAGATTATTTCAAAGACTGATTGTAGTTTGCTCGCGAATTTCATTGAGTATTATTATGTTGAGAATGACGTTTTGTCTGCAGGAAAGGGAGGTAAAAATAGAAGAAGAGGAAAGAATGAGAACGAGACCGAAAAGAGAGAATTGGTGTTCAAGGAGGATGGACAAGGTGAGAGTGCAGTGCGGGGAATATAAATAACGTTACGATTGAAAAGGATTCGCGTTTTATTTTGGTGTACTCATAGTGTTTATTTTGCACAGAATATGCTCAAGTGACAAAAATGCTGGGCAATGGTAGACTAGAAGCGATGTGCTTTGACGGAGTCAAGCGACTGTGCCACATTCGAGGAAAGCTTCGGAAGAAAGTATGGATAAATCAGGGAGATATTATATTAATTGGTTTACGAGATTACCAGGATGCTAAAGCGGACGTCATATTGAAATATACGGCCGATGAAGCACGTAACTTGAAAACTTATGGTGAATTCCCAGAAACTGGTAAGTGGCATTTTGTATTATCAATACTCAATGTATGACATTTTATTGTATATTTACTTGATATAATCTATAGTGTTTTCTTACTAATGTGAAATTGTTTTTAGTACGTATCAATGATACAGTTACCTTTGTGGAAGATGGATTTGATGAAGATATTGAGTTTGGTGATGAAATTAGCGACAATGATGAAGATGATGTTGATAATGTAAGCTCTTTCATACATGAAACTATTTTATCTACACAGGTTATATTATTGCTATAACTTGTTTGTACTTTCTGATTTCTCTCATCTATTTTAGCCTTTTTCCCTGCAATATCTAATTAAAAAGTTTGATTTGTGTATTATGTTTAATAATAAAATATGCTATTGCACTTACAGATCTGATGACCTGCGGTATAATAATAAAAAAAAGGTATGTCATGAAAATGCATGGGGACATCTATTCATTTCACAAAATACTATTATTTGTCAAAGTTTTCTTCTATTGAATAGCTTATCTCTCTGTATGTATTCCCAAATAAATTGTCAGTTTATGGATAACGTGTTCCAATTCGAATAGTTATATTTGGTATTTGTAAGTTTTATAGGAACATGAATTCTTTTTTAATAGGAAAAAATTATAGTTGATATTTAACATATATTAAATTTAAATTTTGCATTATTTCGAGTATACTACATGCCAGATTTGCTAGATTTATGTTTGTGTACAGTATCAATATGTATGACCAGTTTCGTGACCATCTCTCTGTATTTTTCTATATTTCGTATATTATCTGCCAATAATACACGTGTATATCGTCATTTAAGCAGGAAATAGGAATGTACATCACAGCGAGTACTCTCTTTTATATGTTGAAATGTTTCACTCTAAAATATTCATCGAGAAACGAAATAACATACAATTAGAGATCTCGTCCTCTGTCAGATTTCGACGAGATTTTAGAGCCAGTACAATTAGTAAATTGATAAATTAATAAATTAAAAGACAACTTGGGATGAGTTCCTAGTGAACAGAAAAACTTCTTGTCTTAGCGTGATTATTATTATAGTTTGATTGATTACACACGTTGGTAATAATGATACAGTCATTTGTTACGATAAATAACGTGTGCCAGATGTAATTCTCGGAACATATGTTGTGTTATGTATCTCAGTGCAATTATTCAATACATGTTATTCGTTACATCAAAAGGGGACTATAGTGTGTGCTACATTTCGACAATTAACATCGGTTATTAACGATGAAAATGTACAATTAATCATTTTTATGTAATGAAAGAATCTGGAAAATAATATTATTGTTTATTTATGTACAATTAAGTGGAACAATAAGATACAATTATAAACTCGAATTTTTTTCATATGTTAAATAAAATTGCGTATGTTTAACAAATTCTAAAAATTGGAGAAATACTTTTCTCTTTTTTCAGAACCTATCTTTTCCTTATAATTAAAGATAAAATAAATAAGATACTATAATTATATGAAATTTATAATGTAAAGAATATATACTTACGTAAAATTAATTTTTTCTATTCACATTTGAAATGCACATTTTTTAAAAATAATGCTAATGCAATTCTTCTTCTTTCCTTTATGGCTGGTTAGGCTTCTATACAAAATTTGCTTGTACGCCAGTTAGTGGTTATATGAATTATAATCGATCACTAGTTAATAGTGCAACAACTAGTGTGTAGAAATGATCCTCCAGAGGAAGATAAGTTGCAAAAATTCTGAACCCAAATTGGAACTTGCGCGAGAATGCGCTTAAACACGTCCGTACCCGACCAAGGCCGTTACGGATCTAATGCTAATGCAATTCTTAGAAATACTTGAAAGAAAAGTGGATTAGATGACAATTGATTGGTTATTTAGTATGTATTTATATACGAATGAAAGGATGAGAATATCTCGCTCTTTCTTTTTTTATATTTCTACTATAGAGGACATTGTAATTCTGATGCAACATTTTATTTATTATGCCGCTGATAGTTCTATCACACAATATTATATAATAAATTATAGTCTCTTTCTTCTTTGATATCTTGACACCATGCAATGCCATTGTAATGATAATACCATTATAATATATTAAAGAGGGACACGTAATTAGTATAGGGGGAAGTATGCGTGGTTGCTTGACGTGTTAAGTTGAAAATTAACTTGTACAAAAGTGTGTGCAAAATATAAAGCATTAGTTCAACATTGGTACATTAATGTTTTGATGACGGTCAATGACATTGATATTAAATGCAATACATTTGTAATATATATATAGATTGACAGCACTAGATAATTCAAAATGTATTGCTATTGCACATAGAATATATCATTTGTTTGTTGTTGTAATAGTAGTCTTGTACTTTGCAATAATATATAATAAAATGTATATTGCATGTATAAAAGTTTTTCTTCCATCATGAGACAAACATCATCAATAACATTAAAGTACCAGCATCCTCATGGCATTCGTAATGAATTATATATACTAAATGTTACGACAATATATAGGAGCATATCATATTTTATTTTGATGCGCATGTGATTGTGCCTTTGGTCCTTAGGTCAGATGGGCTCTAGGCAAGTTCTATTAAACGTAGTATAACAGTCATTATAGACAATAATTTATAAACTTCAGATAGCATAATCATATTATATCTTTCAATATATCATATATCATACATTAATAGAATAGCTTATTTAATTTTCGTTTTAATATATTTATATATTATGATTTTTTCTTTTCCTCCTCTCTTTTCTGTGCTTCTCAAAACTGTGTCATACACCAAAAGCTAACACCAGCTTAGAATATTAAAAATGAATCCAGATCCGCAAGGTCTCAAACAATGTAATCTCTATACATCGTCATGTTGTTAACTTTCGCTATTTAATTTTATGCTGTTTCACATGGCATGACAAAATGCTGATAATGTAACCCTTCCAAGCTTACAAATTAACACATAATATTTGTGTCCAGAGGCTCGCTATATAAATAAAATATTCCTGTTAGCATCTTATAATTATTACAATCGTATCCATAGTACATTTTTATATTTATATATATATATATATATAAGTTACGCTAAGAAATTATCATATATACAATTAAAAATTGTTAGGAAATATCCTTTAAACAAGTTAAATTTATACATTATAATCCGATGCATAAAAACATTTATATTTCTCACTGTTAATCAAATCAACACAGTCGGTGCGCGAAATAGTCAGCACTTCTCTTCCAGTTCATTTTTTTTTATTATGCCTGAATTCGCGACTTGAGTCGAGTAACAACAAGAAATTTCCAATTTCCTTATTTTCGTTTCAGAATTTATTAATTATGTCCATTGTCGAAAGTATTAATGAAGAATATATATATGTATATGTATATATATATATATATATTCATTCATTTATTGCCGATCTATTAAGCGACATATTGCGCGATAGATATACAACCATCCTACAGTTTAAATGGACTATTCTTGCGAGAATGATACTAATCTAGATCGCTCGGCACGATCGCTCGGCACGATCGAGACGATCTTATCCTCTGCTGCTGCACTTCCACCATTCACATTTTTTTCGCCTATCTTTCCCTCCCTTCCATTTCGCATTATAGCTTTGAACAACACGAGAAAGGCGTTGTACATGGACGGGTTGGCATAGTGAAGACTAGCGCGGATCGGCTAGTCGGACTAGCAACAACATACATAGACACATCATCGATCGCGAGATTACAAACGCAAACAAGTAAGGCAACCGAGCGGAACGGAAAGGCAAGCAAATCTGAAGCATAGGCCATGAGCAGCGTGGTAATAAATCATCGTGCATGCTTTTATGTGGCTTCAGAAAGAGGCAACATCTCAAAGGAGCGCGTGATGGACACGTCTTCATGTGCCTCTGGCCTTACATAATCGAAAATTCATCGCTCGACGTCCGAGGACACGTCAAGTCGATGGAGTCGAGATGCTTCATCAAAAATTAATTACGAGAGAATCGACTTCGAAAACACTGACGAATCCTCTCTTTTATTCATCATGAAGGTTCGAAGGGCAGCAGCGCGTTCTATTCTTAATGGTCCTTTCTTTCTTCTGTCATGAATGTGTCCATGATCTTCTGCATAGATTCGCGTAAGTCATCCGTGCCACCAGCTCCCACGGACGATATTGTTCTCGATTCCGTTCGCGTAGTCGTTATGCTGCAAAAAATGATTCTCTCAAGATTATGTTTATCTAGATGCATGTAAAAAAAGAAATAAATATTAAAAAAAAAAAAAAAAAAAAATGTATATATACCTTTCCTGTGTGACAGGATCCACCTCAATCGTTGTCGTCTCCATAAAGGATGGCTCGCTATGTTGCAAAAAGTCAGATTCTGCGACAACAAAGGAGAACAAATCAAACATCTTGTGACATTCGTGACAGATTTTGCTATTTCGTTGCTGCGTGTTTTATATAGAGAACAAGAGTACGAATCGTATATATCTCTCAAACTTTACATCATGCCCAAAACAAGGGAATAAGACTAGACACATATAAAAAAAGTTACAACATTGCTAAACATTTGACGATACATAATATATATATATATATAATGTTACAATCGACGAGGAGATAATTCTTCGCTATATTTTTGCATACTTTTCTACAGGAAAGTGTGTCACTGATTGTACTACGATTTCTCTTGAATCTACGCTATATATTCTCATATATGCGAGAAGATAAAAAATATAGTTATACGTATTCAGAGACTCTGAATTCTAAATAGCAGTTTGTCGAATTCTTTTCAATTCCAATAATAACAGGATTAATATACCCATATTTTTTAGACGTAAATGAAAATACTAAAATTAATTACACTGAATTTTAATAAATTAAATTAAATTTTATATCCCTCTCACGTTTATTTAAAGTTCTTTACATAATTTTTTGCAAATATATATATAATTATTCTGCTATTTAGGATCGAAGAATTAACTGCGTTTCATAGGAAGACAGCACTGCTTAAAAATAAATGCTCGTTGATCTGTAGTTAATTAAATACACGACGACATTATATTACTGAGCAATATTCTAAATACTTTTGTCAGTACGGTTGTGCTTGAGCGCAGCGAGCTCGTGTAAAGCGCTGATAAAAGCCGCCGAACAAAGCATTTAGCAGTTAGTCGTAAGAGATGTAGGTATTCAACGTTCTCGATACAACAAAAGAGTACTACGATAAAAACTGAAAGTGGACTCCTTTCGATTCATAAAAATTAAAAAATTATATTCCGATTTGATACATATATAAAATGTGGTACTCTCTCTATAATAGAGAAGAGTTTCGATATACGGTATAGTACTGTTTCGAAGTGTGAAGCAATGATGATTTTTTTTATGGAAATAAATTAAAAGATTCTTAATCTTACAAATATTTTGGTACACTCTATATCGCGCACAATAAAATATAATTTTTTTGGATAAAGCATTGTCAAAGTATTGTCAAAGTCTAAATTCGAAAAGAAGTATTCTTACGATTATTAGATATGATAATTCTCAGCCTACCGTCTGCTGGTTTTGACCGTAGTTTTGCAATCGTAAATGAAACGCTCCATGAAATTTTATATATAGGAGTCCGTACTAACTACATTAGTTAGTATTGTTAGACGAACGGTCAGATAGAGTGCTAGAATATTACTGCGAATTTGGTAATATTAATTCCTAATGCGGAAAGGACGACATCCTTGCGGATTTAAATTTTTTTAGGACGACGATACAAAATCATTCTACTTGAGCCGATTTTCACACGCGTCTGACACATTGACAGGAGATATATCGTAGGGATTATACACAGGGAAACTCATGTATTTAAGGATATTCAATTAGTGTGTTTAAGGATGTTCAATAAGCATGTGTCACGCGATAATCAACGCATAGACGTGTCTCAGCCATCTTCGTGTCTATGTTTTAAACTAGCGTATCGCTGATAAGAAGAGGGATTATAAGCTCGAGGAATGAAAAGATGACAAAAAAGCATCTTCTATTCCGATTCTTCTTGTTCTCAGGGATTGAAATTGATATAATTTCGTTAAGTCTAATTTTCGATGCGGGTAAAATTGAAATCTAAATTCGCCCCGGAAATATATCGATTTTAATCCCTTTCATACTGCGACATACGTTACATTTTTACGGGATCGAAAGGGAAAATTCGGTAAAATATTAAGAAGCTGTAGTACATCAGTCGGTGCAACGCAACTCGCTCTCGTTTCGGAAAAAAAGAGAACGAGAGAGTTATCTTAGTGCCATTTTTGAGAAGTTTGTCGTATATTCATCTGTATATCGACAAGATCCAGAGAAAGCCATTCTCGCGCACACTTGTGCTTATACGTGTAAAATACGATATATATATGTACATACACTTAAATTACTTACATGACGATTCGCCTAACAATCCTAACGTGACTAAAAACACGACTGTTGGTCCCTCTACACTTTAGCTTTATCTTGAGTTGCTTATTGTCAGAAGAGAGCTAGAAGGGTAAAAGTAAACTATAGGATGCTCGAAATAAAAAAAAATACACGCATTTTCACTCAATCAGCCAAACTATATGCAACTCTTTTATCGTGATATCTTTTTTTTCCGCACGTGGATATATCTCACAGCAGATGTATATCTCCCGCGTAATTTATATATAATACATCCTTATACAACTTTTACTGCATCTACTATACATTTTTTTATACTATGATATTAATTACTTTTATATGTGTATGCTACAAGCTGTATATCATAAAACTCAGCCGAATTCCTATGTCTTAATTGTAATTTAAACGTATTATATA